GTTCTGCATGGAGCACTGGGTGTTATACACAAACAATGAATCATGGAACACTACATCAAAAACTAATGATGTAATGTATGGTGATTAACATAATAATAAAAAAATGTTAAATACATCAAAAATCATACAGTCTCAGGCACTTATATAAGAAAACAAAATCCAGGAAATCTGGATTAAATACAGCAACTAAGGGCTTAACTCAGAAAACTGCTTTTCTTGGGATAACTTGAAAGCTAACCCAGGAGGAAACCCTGTCAGGTGAAAATGAAAAAGAAGCAAATGCCCAACTGTTCATTGTAATTTCTACCCTCATCCACAGCCTCAGAGCACTAGCTCACACAAAGGAACAAAATATTGTAAAAAGAGAACAGAATCCATTCTCAGGCCTTCCAGGAACATGAGGACAGAATTTAGACATACACTGTTTTGTGGACAGGGAAGAGAATGGCTCAGAAGACAACAGAAAGGAGACAAGAGGTCCCAATGCCTGTGGTCCTTCAGATTTTCATATTTAGATTCTTCTACACCATCTCAATTTGCTTTTGTTCATGTGCTTCATAAGTGTTTACACTTCGTGTGTGCTTTGCTTACCCAACCAGCTTATGAACACGAAGACCTCCAGGAATGTACAAGGGAAATGGCACAAGTGAGAGAAGTGAGTGAAGATCAAAGGAATACCGGGGAAAAGATGTGTCATTGGTGGGGATGTGACAGGGCTTTTGACTGGCAATTGCCTCATCTGAGTTAAGTGTCTACCCCTTCACTCTCTACCAGGCTTACACTTTTGGTCACTCTGTAATGACTTTGTACTCAGTACACAATATCAGAACTATTTCTTTAACATTGAGGCTATTTTTTTTTTTTTTCCAATCTGGTCCAGCTGACTGACAGCAAAGAAGACTGGGAAATTTCCAACCACAAAGCGTGTAGACATGGCTTCTGCCTCTACAGAGATTTGCAGTTTTTAGTAGCTACAAATTTGGCTTCTTTGAGTTGCCCTTTATTTTAAGAAATATGCTTTACTTAAAGGCAACACCACTCTCCTTTCAGGGTAACATACTACCGCTTCTCCAGTTCTGTCCTCATGTTGAGCTATCCCATATCCCTTATTTCCTATAGGGTACATCAATCCATGTTGCCAATTCTTGATGGGGTGGGCTTTAGATCCTCAGAGATGCAATAGTACAGTTTATAGATTTAGGCAGAAGGTACAAAATCTTTATCTAAAGCCAAGGTCAATGTGTACTTGTGCTAATGTATGTTCAATGTTCCATTGGGTTCTAAATTAGGCAAATATAAAAAGAGAGGGAGGAGAACCCATTTTAAATAAGAACTGATAAATAGAGTTCACTCATTATCGTTATTACTCTTCTTAATGAAAACTACCCTTTTCCAAACTCTGACTCTCTGGCAGGAACTATGCTAAGTGCTTTACACAAATTATCCCATTTAATCATCAAAATAATGGTACCTGTAAAGTCAGTACTATAATTATCCATATTTGTTATATAAGAAAACAAAGGCTTAGAGACTTGAAATAACTTGACAAAGATGATATATAGTAAACAACAGAGCCAACATTCAAATCCAGGCTACCTGACTCCAAAGTATGTGTTGCGAAGCATTGTTCTACACAGGTCTCCTCATTTCTGTTCGTTCAACCCCACCCCACGCCATCCCCAATTTGAACTCAAGTGTTTCTTTTTTCCTGGAAAACAGCAATGGGAATAGGGCATCGTAAAGTAGTGGTGGAGGAGCTCCTGGTTTCCAGGTGGACTGTTCCAACACCATGGTCTTATCTCTTGATAAGAAATGGAGATGAGGTAATAAATCCATCCCTGTTGCCTGTCCTGGGCAGTTCCGTGCTCAAGCCTCTTTTAGCACAGCCTTCATGAGTTAATTTTTGTTGTTTTTCCTCTTACATTACCAGGCCACTTTGCCCCTGCATTAAAGACATTTCATTTCCAGTGCATTTTCCATTTGTTGGCTTTCATTTTCATTCTTTTCCATTAGTATAAATGGAGATCATTTACTATAGGACCAACTAATTTAGGGTAGGCATTATTATCATCATTTTCCAGATGGGCTCAGAGAATGTACATGACAGGCCCTAGGTAAAATTTATTTCTGGCCAGAAAGGAGCTAGAACTTAAGCCTAGGATTCCTGCCTCCAAATGCAGCTCTCTAAGGCCCATATGTGTGAATGCTACATGTCCAGCAGCCTCCTTGGTACCTTTGCCTGCCCAATACTAAATACGCCATATAACCAAAGCCACTTGCATATATCCCCCCATAAACCTGCTCTGCTCGCTCTGCCTTCAGTGAGTGGCACCTCCTCCCATGTCACCTTAAATTTTTTTCTCCCCTTCACTCATACTACCATTGTCCTATATCCATTCTATTAGCAAGTCACACCTATGTTATGCCCGAAGCATTCGATTTGTCGTTTCTTTCCATGTCTACCGAAACTACCACTCTGTCTCCTCTGGGCTACTGGAACTGTCTCCTAGCTCGCACCCACCTTTTCCTTCCTGCCCATTTTTGTTCCATTCTCCTACTGAAGCTGGCATGATCTTTTTCTGACACAAGTACAACTGGGCTATAAATGTCGTGCCATCCTTTTGTTGCGAACACTTCAATGTCTTCCTACGGCTCTTAGATAAAAAGCAAACCTTCAAATATGGCTGACAAGATCTGACACAATCTGGTCCTTGCCATGTCTCCCACCTCCTCCCTTCACCTCTGCACCACAGCCTGCTGGCATTGTCCCATGTCCTCAAACACGACTAAGCCCCTCTCACAAGCTCTTCCCTCTCCCTGGATCACTCACAAACCTCCCAGCTCCTAAATGGTGTTATTGTCTACCCCTTCTTCAGACCTCCGCTCAGGTGTTGCCTTCTCAGGGTCAGTTTCCCTGGCCTCTATTACATGCTCTTTCAAGACCATTACCACTTATCCTTACCACTTATCACTGTTGCACTTTTACATTTATTTGTGGAATTATTTGATTAATTTCTGTCTTTCTTTCCAGGCAATACCTCTTTCTGCTCAACCTCTGTGTACTTAGCACCATGTCTAGCACATGGTTGGCTCAAAATACGTATCTGTCAAATGACTGAGAGCTGAATGAAAGGGTGTGCTCCTTTCCCTCTACAGTTATGCTTACCATTTGTCTGAAGGAGTAGGTTGTAGATTTTAGTCCGAACACCCTCCGGATACAGAGTAAAGCCACACTCATACTTCCCAGTGAGTGAGGAGGACACGTTCTTTAAGTGCAGAATCCACGTTGACACATTTCTGGAAGTTTCTGTGAAGGTCACCAGTGACTCACAGGGACCGCCATTAGCACAGTGCAAGCCATACTGCGGATGATAAAGGGCAATCAGATCCAATTTATCAGTGACCTTGGACCATTGCATCTGCACCAAGAAGCCTTTCTTCCATGTTTGACAGGTTAGGTTGACATCAGAGCCAGGGAAAGCATAGATGTCTTCTGTATTGGATGTTTTTTCCCATACTCCTGAAAAGGAAGGACATGAGCCATTAGTTTACATGATTCATGTGGGATGACTCTTACTTAAAAACCTTGGTCACTTTGGTGAGGTGAGGGAGCAACTGAGGAACTTTCTCTCTGGCTGCCTTACGTGTAGGAGGGAGCCTGTGCACAGTCCCAATAGAGAAGCAGAGACTCAGTACAAATGAGGAGGCATTTGCTTAAGGACACTAGAGAGATATTCCTCTCTTTGTCTGTTGGGCTGTCCAAAGGATAACTACCTGTGAATCAAATTAAGCCTATCTAGAAACTGAAGCCCACCAGCAAACTTATTATGACAACTATTTTTACAATGAATATAACTGACTTTTTTTTTGGTTTTATGAACCGACAGCTGCATATAACACACCAGTAATATTTTCTGAAACAGAAAAAATAACTGATATGTGTATAGCTGTTTTTAAAAATCTATGTTCACAAGAGGCTTTTTTATAGACTATTTTATTTAATCCTCCTCACATACCACAGAATGATGTTGTTAACATTCTATCAAAGAGGAAACTGACGCACAGCATGATTAAATGACTAGCTGCAAGTCACACCTCAGTAAAAGAACATGTACTTGGTTGCCTAAAGTCTGTGCTCTTTCTCTAACCTTCATTAACATCCAAACTGCCTCCCAAATTGGTTGAGAAGAGTAAGAAATTTGACATTCACTATGGAGCTCAAAAAGACCTTCGTGTCCATGCAGTTAGGGCTCCTAAGGGGAGGACGGGAGAAAATACCTGAGGTAGACTTTCCACTAAAGAAAAACTATGGTCACCATCGTCTATCATCAACACTTTGAACTATGAGACACAAAAGAAGAAGATTCTCTCCCATCATCTCTCTGACCACATGGTACAAGGCACTTAAAATATGTTAAGCATTGAGCCTTTGACATGCCTTCAATAGTGGAGGCCTCAATTTTCGCTTTAATGGAACACTGTTCCAGGAATGATATATTATTATGACAAGTACCACCGAAGCTCACAAAGGAAAAAGATAAAAAGATGACAAGCAACGGAGAAGAAACAAGGCTCTCTAAGGTACTTGACAAATGGGAATTATTACACTTTTATGGATTCAAAAGTTTGGGTAGGCAGAGGTTAGTACAGTTTAATGTCTCTCCCTGTACGCTTTCCTTCGCCTGGTAATATGCCTCTGATTCTATCCACAGCATTGGGTTCCAAAGTCTCCTTTAATTTAGAAATTCTCCTTAAAACCTTTGTAGCTCTATCTGTAAAGCATAGTTAATTCTTCAGACACTCAGGCTTCCTATAATTCCCCCAGGCTATGGAATGCAGAACTAATCTTTCCTCCCGCTATTTTTAAATAGGCCCTGAAGGCCCCGGTTGTAAGACCCCTACTCTGTCTTCCAGGTCCATACCTACACATGCCTCATTAAAATTCAACATGTGTTCAACTCCCAAAGACATTCATATCTGGAGGAGTAATGCTTGTTATATACAAAAGAAAAAGGATGCTCGAGAGAGAAAAAGCTGAGCAAGGATCCCGCAGCACTGATGGGCTTTGTGATTTTTTTAGTATTCCGGAGTTGTTCTGACGACCATGTGGGGAGCATTTCATTTCCAAGAAGCACAATTTCCCAGTTACTCTAGAGATCCTCTTAGGAATGAAATGGGTGAAAATATCTCAGAGCAGTGGCACAAACCACTCATTCTCTTCTCGTTTTTAGTGTTCGTTAGTAATCATTTCTAGACTCTAACATCTCTCCGATAGCTGCCACTTAAATTTGTAACTGAAAACCTTAGCAACGATCTGCCTTCGGTGATCAATGTCAGCAGTAGTCACTCGCATTTTAAACGAACAGAGGCCCCCCCCGCCCCTAAAGCTGCCGATTTGACAAGAGAAGACAACTGGAAGCCTTACCCCTGATGAAATGTATCTGGATGATGGAACAGACAGCACAGTAGGTCCATTTTTTCTCCATTGTCTCCTGAAGGCCTTACACCAGCATATCCATAATCACGGAAGTCAACTGATGCCTTGAAGCAAACTCCAGCTACCCTATTTGTGCAGAAAAACCCCAAACCTACTGCACGCCTGGGTCTGTTTATCACTTGGCAAGACCCCAGGAAATGAAACGTAGACAGGAAAGTAATGTGGTTCAGAGCTAAGTATAACCTTCACCAGAGCGATGTTGAAATTGTTCTCTGAAATTTTGTATATCACCTTCGTTAAAAAACTTCTCAGGATCCAAAGATTCTCTCCTTCAGGATCTCTGTGTCAGTCATGCTGCTTCTAAAATCCAAACAAAGGGAATCATGCAGAGCGATTCATAATGTGCTTTTTATACATTTCTTTTCAAGAACACGAAGTCATTTAACAAATGTGAGCTTCGTGTCTTTCATAACAGTTTTTCTGTTCACTTCTAAAATACGTTTTCCTTCCAGAATGGCTCCCGGGTGAAAGAACAAAGAATTAACACATTTAATTTTAATAAAATCTGAAAAGTAACGGAGGGTAACATCAGCTATCAAACCGAATTTTATTGTCACCCCTAATGCAGGAAAGCCCACATTTCCTGGGCAGGGGTGGGGGCGGGGTGGTGTTGAGAAGGGAGGGCTCCTTTTTCACCCCCTGTCTGGGCTAGGCTGGAGGTCAGGCAGGGAAATCTCCCACCCTACCAGCCGGAGGATTTTTTTTTTTTCTGACACCAGAAGAACTTGCCTGTGCCCCAGCCAAAAACCAGACAGAGTAAGGCTGAAATAATCTGAATTCCAAAGGCAGAGAACCTCCTACTCCAGCCAGCTACCAGGCCTGTGATATCTGCCCCATTACTTCCATTTACAGAGGACTGAGACTGGGGTTTAGGGAAGCGACTCCTAGTATATGATGACTTCCCTGCCAGGTAAGATGTCACAAAGTGGTTTTCCAGCTTGAGATAAAATAACCTTCCAAACTTAAGAGAACAAGCATTAGGCTGAGGACTACAGCATAGGGTTGATGGACAAAGAATAAAACCAAATAAATAAATGTGTTTACAGGCAACCATATGAACAATTGGTGAAACATCCCATGACCCTAATTTTACTACTACCATCAAGGCAGCAGCCAGCAAGCCTGAAGACAAACAAGAAGGCTGAGCTGTATTCCTGAGGTGGTAGTTCTTTCGGGGTCACCGGGAGATAATTCTGGCCACGTTGTCATCACATATATTGTCATGACATCATGATATCCTGACCTATCATGCAGATACTGATCTGTCCCTGTACGAGGACTTGGGATTGGAATATGGATGATGCATAAGGCATCACCTTTGCCATTTAGAAGACCAGAATTTAGCTGGGGGAACAGAGATTTGCATGTGGTGAAACAGGGGTTCTATCCTGGATGTCCAGGCTACCCTCTACCCTCGACACCAGGCTACCCCCTGTGGCACCACTGTGAACACCTGCCATGACAACTGTCATACCAATTCCTCACTACAAAGCTCATGATGTTTCTTGCAAAGGCCAGAAGATGGAGTTACTTATTTCCTGGCTCAGGGCTCCCCAGACCTTTAGTCCCATCCCCATCCCTACTTCCACACTTAGTTTCAGATCCCTGGGGGTGTTGGGTCAGGTGGTGTTGACAGGGATGCTTTCAGGGAGGCTGGGGAGTGCGAAGACTTAGACTGAAAGGAGACCTCACTGCTCTGACTGCCTTCGTCTCTTCCCCTTTACCCCTGGAAATTCTAGTAAATCACAGTGATGGAGAATAGTGGCAAACGTAGGCTAAGAGATCCTGATCAGCAGGTTGGTGTTCCCATTCCGCTGGGACACATGACAAGCCTGGGAAAGGATTTCAGTCACCTCACTCCACCTGTTCTATTAAGAGGATTTACCTACATGAAATCCATAAAAATCTAAACTTACCGAATTCTCTAAGAACAATACCTCCTCTTGAAGCAGTTAGTGGTCTCCTGTCTCCTAGTGCTTTAAACTAAAACATCTTTAAAAAAAAAAAATCCCTTAAATTCAGAATAAGGGAAAACATCACTTATTTTCCAGAGCTACAGACACTTGGAATCCTTGCCTTCCATTGCGGTCGGGCTGCCCAAGGCACCCACTCAGGGGTTGCTGGGCAAACCTGCCCTCTCGGGGTGTGACTTAGAGCTTGGTTCGTGGGTTTTAGAGCTAGAAACCTCGGTGACCCGGAGTCGTCAGATTTTACTCGTTTTCCTTTGGGTTGCACCCAGGCTCCAAGAAAAGAAAACATTTCAGATGCCCACAGAATATTAATGGAGCGCACCTGGTGTCCTACGGCGCAACAAGCCCCACGCGACAGCCCCTCCATGGCCGCCTGCATGCAGCAGGTGGCAGCAACGCCCTGCGGACCGGCACTGCTCTCCCAGGTGATGGGACCTTCCCCCGCGGCTTTTCACTTCCAGTAACACTTTCTAAAGGCTCTTTGAGCGTGGGGATAGGCATTCTCTGTACTTAAAAATAACTCCTCTGTGGAAGTCTTGAAAATCTCTATTATCCTCCCTGCTCACCAAATCCCAATTGCACAGCATTTCTTCTGCCTCAGATTAGAGTCCGCTGCATATAAAGAAAAAACAGAAGCCGTCAGTTTCACACACAAAAAGAAATCTTGAACTTCTTGAACTTCAGAGGCAAATTCAATTATTTACAAAGAGAAGCAGGGGCACGCATGATTTCTGCTGGAGGCAAGCCGTAATTGTGTGTTTTGAGCAAACGTTTTAAATGCTTCATCTAAACACTGACCCTCAATGAGAAAAGGACATTTTCAGAAGTAGGAAGTTGAGCAAAAGGTAAACTTACTTTTGTGGTTTCCATAGAGGTTAACTCAGGTACTGATTTGTGTTGGGTTTTATTCTTTAATTATTATATATAAAAATTCAAATGTGGAGTGTTATACCTTTGTACATGTTTCTCTCCCCAAATGCTTAGAAAACATGCTGTTTTAAAGAGGGCACGTACTGAATGGAGCACTGGGTGTTATGTGCAAACAATGAATCATGGAACACTACATCAAAAACTAATGATGTAATGTATGGTGATTAACGTAACATAAAATTAAAAAAAAGAAAAAATGCTGCTTAATGTTTCAATTAATCAAGAGATATTTATTGAGTGCCAACTCTTAAGGGATTACTGAAGAGGCATAGTTTTAGGTGATTTTACTTATTTATTTTTGAGCAAGGGAGTGGGCATGCATACAAGCAGAGGGAGGGCCAGAGGGAGAGAAGAGAGAATCTCAAGCAGACCAGAGGCCAGTAAAGAGTCCTGTGCAGGGCTCGATCTCAGGACCCTGAGATCATGACCTGAGCTGAAATCAAGAGTCGGACCGACTAAGCCACTCAGGTGCACCAGTTTTAGGTGATTTTAAAATGCAAATGAGAAAACACAACTCTTGTTCTTATGGCACGTATTATTTTGCTCAAGAGAAACATCCATGCACACCATAAAGGAGTCAAGAAACATAAGGCACAGAACTAAATGAGTAGGTAGCCCAGGATTTTAGGAAAGGAGGAGGTGTAGGGATCAAGTCAGTGGGGAACCTAAACTTGGCTTCATATTGTAAAGGCGAGTCTGGTGGAAACCACAAGGTACGTCATTCCAGGCAGAGGAAACAGTAAGAGCCATCAGTTGGAACTGCTGAAGTTCAAGGCCAACTCAGTAAGTCAGTTGTTATCATGGAACAGAGGCTTTATGCAGGTGCTTGGAGCCAGACAAAGCTGTCCAAGGGGTGAGATTAGATTATGGAGGGCTTTGAATTCTGAGCTATAGATATTTTCTTCATGTCAGAGAGTTACAGGTTTTCAACAAAAGAGTAACATATATAAAATAACATCTTAGAAAGACAAATTGGGTGGACTTGTGAATAAAATAAGGTGGAGGAAAGAGAGGAGGAAGACCTGTTTGGGGTCTTATATGTCCTTAAGCAGCAGAGGACAAGAGTCCACTGACTGGTTATGGCTGAGGGTGACGGTGGCATGGACGTTACAAAGAAAGGGGAGGTAAGGCTTGGTGTCCAACTGGACATGGAGTCAAAATCTGCTGGAAAGTTTCATGCATCAGAATGAGGAGAAAAGAAAAACTGTAGTAGATGTAAGGGCTGTAAAACCACGAAGAAGTGTCATGGATTAAGTGTAATGAGTCCCTGCTGGAAGAACCGCCCTACCCAAGGAGCAGTTGGCAAGGGATCACTGGACTTTGGATGGAAAGGGAGGTTTAGCCTGTTAGGGTACAGGTAGAGGCCCTGCCTTCATGAGAATCAAGTTCCCCTTTTCGGTTTTCACTCAGATTTTATGAGATTTAAGAATTACCTTCTAATGGGAGAGAAAGAATTTCATGACACTTTCAGCAGATAGCAATCTATTTTATCACCATCATTTCCACCATGCTCAATGCCATCCATTAAAGACTGATTTTAAGGTAATACATTTTTCCAGTGACAACATCAATATCTGTTCATTACCAGAATGCATTTATAAAAGGTTAACAAAGAAAATAAAAATCAGCTGGAATCCTAACCACCCACAGACAACCAGTACTTCTATTTTGTCTTACGTCTCTTTGGACTTTTACATAAATATGTATGAATGAGGAAAATTGATTTTTACTGTGTTTACCACATGCGCTCCAGCCTGTCCCTTTTGTTTCACTTCATAATATATTGCAGACATATACACGTTATAAAACAAAGATAAACTTCCTTCTTTTGAAGTAGTTGCAAGGTATTTTGTTGTATAGATGTATAAAACATAATTTTTAAGTAAAATAATTATAAAATATCTACCTAATGTTTTACTTTAAGAAATAGGATTTAAAAATTCAATTGAATAATTATAGTTAGTAACCTTTGAACATCTTTCGGTGGCAAGCTAAAATAAGGAAAGAGAAAAAGAGCGACCGACAGGAGAGAGAGCTTGGTTTTGCCAAAGCCCTAGGAAGCTAATGCTAGCTCATTCATAATTAAATAATGTTGATTTTTGCAGGAATATATTTTAAAAACTATTAAGATTACTAGGATTAATATAGAATAAAAGAAATCTTCTAGAGTCTATATTTTACCCAGTTTCAAAACATTGAAATTTATGGGTGCCTGGGTGGCTCAGTTGGTTAAGCGACTGCCTTCGGCTCAGGTCATGATCCTGGAGTCCTGGGATCAAGTCCCACATCGGGCTCCCTGCTCGTCAGGGAGTCTGCTTCTCCCTCTGACCCTCCCCCCTCTCATGTACTCGCTCTCTCTCATTCTCTCTCTCTCAAATA